AAAAAAAAAAAACCAAAAAAAATCAAACAACCAAGAGTTGGCTCTATGAATTTGATTTGTTAAATATTTGTTTGATATTTTACTTTTCTAATTAGTCTTGGGTTTTCAGCTGGAAAGCATTTGTGAGGATACAGTTGTTGTGGAGAAGAAACAGAGCTTGTTAAGTAGCTTCATCCCCGCCCTTCGATCTGGGGAGTGGTCTCACATCGGGCAAAGATCTCATATGGAGGATACTCACATATGTGTTGCAGACCTAGCTAAGAACTTTGGTTACAATTCACTCAGTGAGGAAGCCATCTCCTTCTATGGAGTAAGTTCTTTGACCTCTTAGGTTGTTTATGTTTTCTCTGCTTTGAAGGTTAGTATAATGAGCTACTTAACATAGCTTCAACAACTTGCAAACTTATGAGAAATTATTGATTAGATATTATTCATCACCATTATACCGAGAAGCTAAGAAGTGCGTACACTTCCAAAAACAACGTGTGTCCATGTCTAACAAATGGTGGACACTAACACTTTCCAAACCCTGTCTGACTTACTTTTGACTCTATCCATATTAACATAAAACTCTTATCTTTGGACTTGTGTTCGATACTTCTTGGATGTTCACCTGTGATTAATAGAATGTATGATTTAGGATAGACTCTCTGTTTCACATAATTAAAAAAGTGGTAGTTGTTGAGAGTAATCAAATTAAATTTCTTTATTAGGCAAACCCTACTAGAGAGGCTTTCTCGTTCAACTAACTAGCTAGAAAGTATAGTGTGCTTTTGCATTTTCTCTTGGAGGAAAGTTTAAGGTCTTGGGACACATAGGGAATTGAGCCTTCTAGTTGAGATGACAAAAACATCCTTATTCTTTATGCTTCTTGTGCTTTATCTATGTAACACAAGTGATGGTGATTGTTATTTATGACTCAAATCTGCTATGTTAGAACACTTGATTAAAATATAGTTTGCATATCATCAAACCATATAGACATACAGATGAATTATATACTATTTTGCATAGAAAAATTTAGTATTTATTGATTTGTCATTTTTTTTTGTGCTGTGCCAGCTCATCCATGTTCCTGGTCAAGGATAGATGTTGTGTGGGGCAAATAGGAATACTGTCCATGATACTTTTTTGTTGTAGGGTAAAATCTTTTAAAATGGATGTTTACTATTCAAGTAGGAAGACATCAACTTGAGCAAAGGACTTGGTCGAAAGCGGAGCTTAGATATTAGAGGAGGCACTTTTGTATATCAGCAAATCTCCCATATCAGGCCCCAAATGCCATAATGGGCATGGTTCAATACCAGCCAATATTAATTGATACCACTTGTCCAAGTTGTATCTGATTCGGAACCTTCCCATCTCATATCATACACCTTTTCGTGTAAACCACGAGTCATGCACGACTTGGCTGAGTCATCTGAGATGTCTCCGAGTTAATCCCGATTCGTTCAATTCATCTTCACAAAGTCGGTTGATACTGTTTTGTGGTGTCGCTGTATAACTTGAATCACTCGTGATGTTCGACTTTTTCTATGTAGCATTCCGTGTGTATTTCCCATAGTTTTTAAACCCGGCTTGGACATCAACTTGGCAAGGGATTGGGTCAATGAGTTAGTGGTTTAACTATTGGGTCAACTAGTCGAGACAGTCATATAATAAAAAATAAATAAATAATAAATAATATGACAATGAATATACTAGTCTACAATTCAGTTATCAAGCATTGGTCACAGTTATCTTGCAGGTAAATCACTAATCTACTACCCAATTTTATATAATGGATAAATTTTAAATTTTGAGCATACAAAATCCCAAATATAAAACGCACAAAAAAGATTAAAAACAGTTAACAAATTCAATCATGAAACAATTGCAAGCCAATTCTTTGCCATACAGAAAAAATTAAACTAACCCATTACTTGCTTGTTCACTTCAAATCATAACCATAAATCAGTGAAATTTTCAACGAAAACGAGAGGTATTCAATACATAGTGCCTTGAAATGACTGTTACGTATGTGTAGGTGAGACTCTTTTTACTGACAGTGAGCTAGGGTCCTGAGAGTTGAGTAGATGGAAGGCATGGATTTTAAATTGAGTCACTAGGATGTAGGAACTAGATCTAGGGCATTCATATTAATAAATTAGGACCATTGTAAGGCATGAGTTCTACTTTCCTTATGCAAGATCTAGGTGTAACAGTATCTAAGTATTCCAATTTGGGAGTATCTCATTTTTCTGATGGATCTGGTACTAGGCTGCATAGCAATTGATATTTTATTACTGACTCATTAGCTTACTTTTTTACCAACGGCCTTTGGTCCAATGGTACTCTTTGCCTTCATTGCCTTGTGAAGGCTTTACTTTCTTGAGGTCAAGGGTTCAAGCCCCCTCCCCTCCCCCCCCCCAAAAAAAAAATATCTTACTTTTAGACTTCGAAGTTGTAGACTTGGACTGTCACATTAACTACCGAATCAGGAAAAAATACCCCCTCCTCTCTATTCATTCCAGTTGTGGTGACATTTTTATACCCCTCAATCAGAAGACATGTATTGATATAATTTAGAACTAAGAATATGTAACTATGTGTCATATATAGCTTCCAGTTTCTCACTCAGTCAATTAATTAGAACTTAAATGTGACTCGAGGAATGAAGTAAACCATTGTGTATTGGGCAGAAGCCATCAAAGAGAATAAGAACTCTAGATGTCATTTAGTTGTAGACAGCTAAATAGGTAACTGATTTGATAACAGGTGTTCGATGGGCATGGGGGAAAGGGTGCTGCCAACTTTGTCCGTGACCATTTACCAAGAGTCATTGTTGAAGATGCTGATTTCCCTTTAGAACTAGAGAAAGTGGTCACAAGGTCATTCATCGAGACAGATGCTGCCTTTGAAAAGTCATGCTCTCTCGAGTCTGCCCTGTCTTCTGGCACAACGGCACTCACTGCAATGATATTTGGCAGGTAAGTCACTTTCGTTCTTAACCATTGGTTGTTGTTTGCTTTTCAGACTTGATTGGTCATTTACTTGTTGCCTTCTAGCTTTGTAATTAAATCTACTAAATAATAGCTGCAGATTATATTATGCGTCCATTTTGGCTTCTGAACTATTTTTTCATTCTGTAAAGATCTTTACTTGTTGCAAATGCTGGAGATTGTCGAGCAGTCCTCTCCCGACATGGAGTGGCCATGGAGATGTCAAAAGATCACAGGCCTTGCTGTGCCAATGAAAGAATGCGGATTGAGTCATTGGGTGGATTCATTGATGATGACTATTTGAATGGACAGTTAGGTGTTACCCGAGCATTAGGTGATTGGCACATCAAAGGACTAAAAGAAGTTGGTGGAAGGGGTGGTCCGTTGAGTGCTGAACCAGAACTCAAATTGATCACCCTAACAAAAGAAGATGAGTTTTTGATAATTAGTAGTGATGGAATATGGGAAGTGTTTACAAGCCAAAATGCAGTGGACTTTGCTAGAAGGAGACTGCAAGAGCACAACGATGTGAAGCGTTGCTGCAAGGAAGTAGTGGAGGAAGCAATGAAGCGGGGAGCAGAAGACAACTTGACTGTAGTGATTGCTTGTTTTCACTCAGAGCGACCTCCCTCAGTTACGGTGCAAAGGACAAGAGTCAAAAGGAGCTTTTCTGCAGAGGCGATTCAGAATCTTAAATTTTTGCTTGGAGAATAGAAAATTTTCTCTCTGTCACTTTTCCCCTTAACAGGCAAGATTAGGGGTGGTCATAGTCCAAATTTTGTGATGGTGGTGGTGATGATGATGATGATGATGATAAATGGTTGTTCTCTCAAGTGCTGTTGTAAATATATTTCTTCATTAGGTTTTCTTTCTTCTTTCCAGGAAAGCTCCATTTTGTTGCAAAGCAGCAGCGAGAAAATAAAGCTCAAGAGAAAATATATTCTTGTCGATGGTTCTGGGGCAGGGATTACAATTTGTAAATAGATATGGTGATTTTCGCCGTGTATGGTCTGCATTTGATCATTTGAACAGTTAACACGTATATCTGAACTTCTTCAGCCATCCCTTGATGTATCTATTGCATCTTATAAATATGTTCACAAGCAAAAATCTTTTGACAGAAGTTATCAGTTCGGATGAAGGAAACTTTCATGATATAAATGTGCACGGAATATGTAAGGTTTAGGAGGTTGCAGGTAAAAGGGTTGAATCATGTTAGATTCGTGATGTGCCTTATACGTGTTGTGCTAAATTTCTGCAACCACTGCTCAGTTCATGCACAGTTATTAGTCTTATTTATTTGTAAATGAGTTTGGTTTTGAGTACTAACTAGTTTTGTATAGTCATACATAGTCGAGGTTCTGAGGTTCTTAGGTTTGTGTTGGTGGGAGGATGTATAGCATATAACAGTATATACTTAATGTGATTTCGGAAATTAAATTGATCAGATTGCAGATCAAAGATTGAATTTTGACAAAGGCTTGTGTTTTGACACTATGTCTTTAAAATAGATTTCGTTCCTACCCTTTTGAAATTACTGATACAACTCTTTACGTAAGTTTATAACTAATTTGAAAATTTACTCTGTAGCTTTTCAAGATAGATTTGACAATGTTGAATTTCTAGGATTGATATTAAGATTGACTACTTAGATTTTGGAAGTTTTCTGTTAAGAAATTGATAATTTCATTATTGATTTTCAAGTTTTAGAGTCTAATTTTTAGGAATTTTTTTTTTACTAATACATTACTCTTGGTTTTAATTTCAGCTCAACTTGAATATGCACAGGTTTTTGTTGAGTCACTTGAACAAAAACTTGTATGCGACACTTAAATTCAGCTCGAAATCGGGTTGCCATCATAGTCGAACCGAGCCAAACTTGAACATACTAAAACTCCACAAGTCCAACTCAATCGACATCTCTAACTTCAACCAATAAACTAATACCTGTTTGTAGGCCTTGACACCGTGACAAATTTGTAAATATAAAACAAATCAGATAAGTGGCAACTAAACTTTCAAGAAAAGTGTCACCAGTCATTAACCATTCAATTCACGGATCATTTAATCTAGTATTGTGTTTCAATACGATCAAATGCGGCTAAATTATGATCGATAGAGTTGAAACTCGAGCCGAGCTCAATTATGGAGATCAAATTTCTTTTTCTGTCCAAAATTTGCTGAGTATTTGAGACGAATTCAAAGTGAGATCGATCTTAATTATGATTGTGCGGGATTCGTATCCAGTGCAGTTGAAAATTGCTACTCTCCTGTTAGGGGATAAGGGAAGCCCAAAATTCAACTAAGGAATAAGAGATGCAAAGACAAAGACAAAGACAGTACGTATTATAATAATATGGCACTACTTTCATTTTTCATAAGAAATAATACATGGTAGATGATCAGGCCTTGCTACTCCAGTGAAGTAATCTCTGCATAGCAAGATAACAAAACACTAGCAGACACAAACCACTACTTTATTGCACATAATAATACATAGGAGTTAGCTTCATATGGCATATGATCGATCATTTGTGGTGGGGAGGTGGTGGTGGTACATGATGATGAGGGGGTGGTGGTGGTGTTACATGATGAACAACAGGAGGAGGTGGAGGCGTATGATGATGGGGTGGCGGTGGAGGCGTATGATGAGGGGGTGGTGGTGGTGCTACATGATGAACAACAGGAGGAGGTGGGTGCTTGTGGTGTGGATCAGGTGGCGGTGGCCTGTGCATCTTTCAGATTCTTTTGCTTCTGCCTGTCTGTCTGGGTTGTTTGTGGTGTTGGGGTTAAAGATAAGAACTTCTTCTCTACTTATACAAGATATATGGAAATGCTTTTAGGTGTCAAGGCCGCCGATCCTTTCAAACCAACTAGTCAAACCAAACTATTTGTTTTTGGCCGGTTTCTACCTAATGTTTTTTTTTATTATATATACATATTTTTTTGAGTTATTTTAATTCTGCCCACAAGTATTCCTTTTATTTTATTTTAAGTTACTTACACTTTACCCAGAGACTTTCATCGCACAATGAATCACTGTGAGACCCACTGAAGAGAGAGACTAGACGAAGAAGAAAAGGATACTTATAGAATTGAATGATCGGTTTATACTTGTCCAATACTCAAAACAAGTAAATAATAAAGGTTTACCGAGTTGAACACCTAGCTGTTTGTGTTTGGTGATTTTACAAAAGAAAATAGTTGATAAGAAAAGATATGATATATACATTAGTTTATTCCCTTGTGAATTTGACATTAACCTTACCAATTGCGACAATTGTTGTAGAGTTTTTTTTTAGCTACGAAAATTGTGAATAATCGATTGTATAATCAAATTAACGATCTATCAATGACAGATCAAATAGTTTTGATTGTATACATCGAGAAAAATAATTATGAAATTATCATACAATTAGCGTCTAATTTGTTAATTTTCATACTCCAACTTCTGAGCATTTTTATTGATGAATGTGTAGCTGTTAAATATGATTTTTAGTACCAAGTATCCTTTTTAATTCAATCATTTGGGAAGTGTAAATATTTAATTGGTAATTAAAGCGTTCACCCATAAATGAATTCCTGGCTTCGGTAATTTTGTGAGAAAATTATTCAAAAATTTCACTTGAGTTCTCATAAATTTTAAAAAATTTGTTCAGAAATTAAGCTCAATTGCAATTTAATTTCAACTTGAATATACGTAAAATTCAATAGAAGTTAAGTTTAAGTAAGAATGTATAGTCAACAATTAAATTCAACTAAAATCGAGTTTCAATTATAACCGTGTCGAACTATGAATTAAGTTCAAGTTCGATTCAATTAATATCTCAACCTTTAACCTATAAATTAATATTTCTTTGAACTCGTTCACGGCGACACTTAAATTTTTTAGAGAGTAGTGCCGGTCATCGGATGAAACATCTTAAAAATGTGAAACGTGTAAATTTTTTTATTTTTGTTTACTTTAACAATTAATGGTTAATTAAAATTCATAACCACGAATCTATTTCGACCCGGACGGTAACCTTATCCAATTCTTGGCTTTTGGGATTAAGAGAACATAAATATATCGTTGCCAAAGTTTTCTACCATTTACTTCCAGGGAAAGAAAAAAAAAATTGTCTACTATTTAAGCTCCGCCCAGTTCTAAGGGGGTATCAATCTGTGTTGTGTCAGGTTCAGCTTCGTGTCGAGCACTAATAATTTCTTAGCAAAGATCTCTCACAATCTATACTATCAACGATAAAACAATTAGAGAATTCAGTAAGAGAGAAGGTTAGACGTATGAAGCTATTTACGGGGTTGTTTGGTAATAAAATTAGAATGACATACAGACAAGAACCGCTTTAAGCTGAGCTATGTATTGCTTGAATTTTGCATCTGACCCTCGACCTGCATCTAGATTTGAGTTTTATTTTTCTCATCCAACTCTATTTGGTAAGTGTAGGATGCAAATCAAGTCTTGTCGTATTACATTGACATGGTACCATGTCAATTAGAGATTGTGTTTTTTTAAGATCATTTAACTAACAAAATTCTATTTTCTCTCGGCCAATTCCATAACATGAGTTCGCACAAATTAATATTTTTGGATCACAAATTACTGTATTTGATATTAATTCAACTTTTGTGTAAGTGGATGATATCGCAGCCATACCGTTTCATGTTGAGTCGAAAATTGTTAGTCCCATGTAAAGGGTAGGAGGGGAGAAGCCCAAAATTCAAATAAGGAATAAAAGATGCAAAGATAAACTCAGTATAATCACAATATTGTATCAGTTTCATTTTCATATTCATAAGAAATAATACATGGCAGACAATCAGGTCCTGATACCCCTAAAGAAGTAAATCTGGATAGCAACATAAGAAAAAGCAGATCACTAGCAAAAACTATAAACTACAACTTTATTACACATAACAAATATGTGTTAGCTTCATGCCATCTGATCAGCGGCGGTGGTGGTGGGGAGGAGGTGGAGGTGGTACATGATGATGATGATGGGGAGGTGGAGGTGGTACATGATGATGATGCGGGGGAGGTGGAGGTGGTACATGATGACGATGGGGAGGAGGTGGTGGTGAATGATGATGGGGTGGAGGTGGCGGTGAATGATGATGGGGAGGTGGCGGGGGCGGTGGATGCAGCGGCCCATGCGGCGGTGGTGGGTGGTGGCGCGGACCAGGGGGCGGTGGCCTGTGCATCTTGCAGTTTCTCTGCTGGGCCTCTCTAGTCTCTCTGCGTTGTTTATGGTGGGATTAAGGTTAAGAGAGAGCTTCTGAACTTATAGTTGTGGACAAAAAGATCTGGAAATGCTTGGAAAGCAAGGGGGATTTCAAACCTACTAGTCAGACCAAACCATTCGTTGTTGGTAGGTTTCTATCTAATATTCATATCTTAAAGTCGGCTTTCGTTGCAACTTGGGTGGGCGGTGGGCCATTCGAATTTATCTTAAAAAAATTATTGATACGGTTAAGATTAAGGTTAGAGTTGAGCTACCTGAATTCCAATTGAATTCAGATAAGCTTTGAATTAAGGGTTCTAGTTTACAGGTTTAACTCAAGTCTAACTCCGATTGATGAAATTGGACTCAACAATATATATATATATATATATATATATATATATATATATATATATTAAATAAAATATATATAAATACTTATTTTATAATAATAATTATTATTATTTAAAGGAGTGAAACATAATTTATAAATACTATAAATGATAAAATAAGTTTACACAATCGATAAGGGATAAATAAAAATGACAAAAAATTATCATCCGACATCGAATAGACAATTCAAATGATTTCTCCTCTCTCTCCTATATAAAGAAGGTTAACCCTTATACTTTTAATAAGTTGTCTTGATGAGTTTTATCTTAGTGGATAATTTAGGTCTATATAATAATCTAACATTATGCAAAGACTCACACCCAATTTAAGATTATTATTTGTTGAGCCCGAATTGTCAACCCAAAGTGAATAACACGATTTTAACTCGAGATTACTCAAAATTAATAGGCAATACTTGGGTTAAAGTAGAGTTAGAGTTATGATTAAAGTGATAACTGAAGATTTTATACCTAAAATTGGGTTAGAACTGATCTCTCAATTCACCCAAATTGCACCCCTAATATTGACCACTTTTCAGTTGGGATAAGCTTGTCTAACTTATGTGGGACGTATAAGGGGTTTTGATTTGGAGTATTAACTAACCACATGCAGTTACCTCGGTAACTAGGAAAAAATATTTATTGTAACAGTGATATCATATCAGTATTGTCATGTAGTATCACAAATTA